TAACTTTGTTGTTATAACGTACAAAATACATAGAATCTAGTTCCATTTGCGTATTACACAACATAACTCGAATCAATGGTTAAAGGAGAACAGGTAATGTAGATTTAAGATCTGTGGCAAATTGTACCATGGATGAAATTTATAAAACAAACACCATTGTTATAATAGAAAATCGAATTCTTTTAAGAAAGAAAAGAAGAGTCTTTTGAAGGATGAGTTATCTTTAATAGTGGATGAAGCATATTCGATGTATATTCAACGTTCGTCTCATCTTGCAGCAATGTTATATTAAAAGAATTGTGAAGGTTGAAGACGAGAAATTTGCTACAGTAAATAAAAAGTTGTCCCAACTGAGATTAGAAATTAATGTCTCTCAGAATAAATCTAAATCGTCGCCGTGTGCATAGGTTTTAAGATTGACGCACCGTAGTTCATAGAGCAGTATCATTTTTCAGTAACTTAAAGGGACCGTTTCACATGGTGTACTACTGGACACATTGTAGTCTACAGTGGTTGAAAAAACTGCACGGTGGTGGTAGAATGGAGAGCTGCATATTTTAAGGACGGATTGTTAATAGTAGGTACGGTAGGTTTTGCAACTTAGTAAAAACGATGTCGAATATTTTAGGTTTTTGTTATTTTTTTGTGCTACCAGAATATCGAATACACAAATTAATGCGCACTAATCTTCTGCGATATAACCATAAACACTAGGTCTTTTTTGTTTATTGTTTGTTTTATTGATACAATTATATCTTGAAATTATAAAATTAACACAAAGCACAAGATTATTGTAAAATGAAATTTAAAAATGTCATCGCGAGTTATACAAGTAAAAAGAAATTTACAAAATTTACAAATGTCTAATGTCGTTGAATAAATTATATATGTTGCAGAAACTGTACATGCAGATGGGATTATATACAAAGAACTTTAGGTTATCAACCTCCGTTAAAATTTAATTAACTATACTATTATGATAATTAGAAAGCAAGATGAAATACGGTAAATGTTTAATGTAACATAACGAATAAATAAGTCGAGAGCAAATCATATACATGGACTTGTCAGGCAAAATGTAGAGGGATTATTAAATGTAAAGTATAGGCCTATTGCAGATGCAGACCTACCGCTGATGCGAAATATGGATATTTTTTAGAAGGAAAACAAGTATATCAAAATCAACTACATACCGCAAAACCTCGAATAGAAGTCCAATGGTATAAATCTCGAAAAGAAGCCCATCTCTAATTGAAACCCCTCTTTGGTTTGCAGGATTAGCCTCGAAAGATAGCATGGGATTCGTTTCGAGATAGTACAGATTATATACTGTACATGAATTTCAAAGAAATAAAACAAATTAAAAACACGCCTGGTTTATATAGTAGGCCTAGTTTAGCCCGTAGTTTAGGTGATTTGATGCCGGTTAATACACTCCATGATACAGACTGATCTTACAGTGGCCCTATTTATTGTTTCATTAGTTCCTATAGCATTAATTTTGAAAAGATGTTCCCTCTTTACTTTGCAAAAGTAGCCTCGAAAAGAAGCCCATCCAAATGTGCGCATGGCTTCTATTCGATGTTATAGTATCTGAACATATGAAGATAAATTTCGAGTCAAATACAGATAGATTCATTTAAAGTTTACCAGCTAATTTAATTGACTATAAATAAGAATGTATTAATAGTATTATGTCTGTGCCTGGCTACACTTAGGATTTAAACGCAATGCTCCACGCAATGTTGTACCATGGTTGTACTGTCTTCGGTTACACGTTAAAATGCTAAATGTGTTTAGGCCCGGCCTAATGCGTTTAGGTTTCTGACGTGTTTAGTATTATATGTGCTTAGGTATTTGACATCATGATTTCAAATACCTAAGCACATTAATTCTAAACACGTCAAGATCCTAAGCATATAAAGATATATCGGAACACAATTAGCCTTTAAACGTGTCACCAAAGACGGGACAACATTGTGTGGAGCTTTGTGTTTAAATCCTCCACGCAGTTTTTACAGTGTACATACAACAAAAATCTCATTATAATTTATAATTGGAAGATAATAATTTGCTTTTACAGTAGTCCTATTTATATGTCTTTTCATTGATAATCGTCCTAGCTCAGAGAACGCATGACGGTCACAGAAGTGTGAAATTGTCTTTAGGTCACGAGGTTGTCGCCCAATTTGAAAGCTACCGGTACCTTATTTGCCTAGACCCTTGAACTTGGTACTGGGCTTTCGAATTTCTGTTTTTTTTTTATAGCAGTTAATTTGACAGTTTCATTAATTTTAATTACACTACTATCGATGTTGACATTATAGTAGGAAGGACCCTATAAGTCTAGACTGGTAAAGTTAAAATAGATGTTTAGTTGGCAAACTTATCTTTTATAATTATCAATATATTGTTCCTGTCCTATTTTTGTAA